AGTAGCTGAGCGCTTCACCTTGTGTACTGCCAACCTCTCCTAACGTAACTGTTAGGTCTGAGTATGAAAATTCTCTTTGGGTTTAAATGAGCCCCACTTACTTGCCGGTTCAGCCGTATGGACAGGATGTTGCTGGAGTAGCTGTAGTTACAGATCTCGGTGCCCTTTTTGAAGTGGTACACGTTCATCTGGCGGGGCTTCGTGTGACTCACCACCACCACCAGGCTACTGGAGAAGAGGCGCTCTACTATGTAGACGTCCGGGATCTCATCTGGGAGGGAAGAGACAGCGGCCTTACAGACTGGTGCTCAGGGAGGAAGGTTCCGGTCTCCACCACCTGAGCACAGCCTACACTACATGAAGCAGTCTCCACTAGTCTCGTTTCAGCGATTACTTTTTTTCCACGGGAGAAGTTTTGTTTACTGAGGTAGTGGTTCCAAAACAAAAAAACAACTCAAACTCAAGTCTACTCTGACACATAGCCATTTGAACGTGCGATCAGAAGGGATCCTGCAGAACACAGTTGAACGGCCCCGTACGGTTTCTAAAGCTGTATGGACGGTGCTGTGGGTTAATGCGCTGGACTGCAAGGTTGGTTTGAACTGCACGGTCAGCAGTGCAAGCTCACCAGCTGATCCTCAGAAACCCTATACAGGTGGCTATGGGTCGGAACTGACTTGCCAGCATTTAACAACAGTCTTTAGACTATTACACCTTCTTCCTGTGACCTGGCTGGGGGGTTTGAACAGCTCATCCTTCAGTTAGCAGCTGAGTGCTTAACCACTGCACCACTAGGACTCTTCAGTCATTCCAAAATGCTTTCCAAACACCCACAGTAAAGGAAACCCTTGTGTGGGCTCGCAACATACATAATGACAATTTCCTGACGCTCGTCCACGTATTCGGGCCCTGGAACTCCACTGTTTGCTTTGTCAAACACACTTGCAAGGTGTGGCCCATCGAAATATCTACTTCCCCCATGAGGGATCGAAATGGACTGCAGTCTGCCTGGGGCCTCAGTTTTCAGAATTCTTCTCGTCCCTATTGCTCTAAGCAGGGTACTTCCATCAAGGGGTGGGGGGACGTACGGTTACATAGTGAACTCTGTTCTCCCCACACCTAACTGTGTTCCCTACTCCTTTCCAGAGTCTCTTCCCTGTTGAAAACAGTCTAGTCATCAGTACCACACCCTGTGTCCAGAACCAACCTGTACGAGCTAGCCCCCCTGTGTGAGCCCAGGTCGGGGCCAGCCCCTCTTTCTGAGAATACTTTTCATATGTGCGTTTCCATATGTAACAACAATTTATTTTCAAGAATGCTTTGCTCAGAACAGAGAAAAACATTCATGAAAAGAAAAATAAGACCTTACAAAGAAATGGCTGTGGTTAGGTGCCGACGCAGGCCAAGGCCACGTGACAGAGGAGACCTGCCCCATGGTGTTTTCTTGGCTGTCATTTTGCTGGAAGCAGATCTTCAGATCTTTTTTCACAGTCAAGTCACTACTGATGTTGTGAAGACGGTTCCCACTCATAGCAAGCCTGAAGAGGGTTTTGGAGGAGCAGCTGGTGGGTTTGAACTTCCAACCTCGTGGTTCGCAGTCCAGTGCTGATCCTACAACACCGTATCACACCACTGGGTGGGTTCCACCCCTCAGCAGAAATAGTTTTTGACTTACCTCATAGGGGTACGGAAAAACGTCAACAATATGATTTCAAACAAAGGCTTTGGAAAGACTGAAGTAAATGCCGCCTAAGAGATTACCACATTTCAGGAAATATCTCGCCATGGCTTTTTTAAGCAAGTGGAAGCGATGAGTTACATTTAAATCGGAAAACACTGACGCCTGAGGTTTGACCTGCCCAGGAGAGGCAGTGTGGAGAGGAGCTCAGCAGCACCAACCTTAGGGTTAGAGGGGTACGGTGTCCCCCGAGATTGCTGCACACTTACTGCTTCCATGAACTTGGTCCAGCTGCTCCACGGAACTCAAGGAGAACAGCTTATAACCGGCTTTGGTTCCGATCGCTAGGGATCTGTGGAAGACAATGAACACATGGGAGTGACAACAGTACTGAGTAGCAACCACAGAGGGGTTGGAAAGTAGATACCCCTTTTCCTACCGTCTGTGCATCCCCAATCCCACAGCAAACGCCACCTCATCTTCCTAGTGGTTGTTGAGATGATTCCAGCTCATGGGGACTCCATGTGTGCAGAAAAGCACTGCATTTGGTAGGGTTTTTGTGACGGTGATGTTTGGGAAGCAGCTCCCCAGGACTTTCTTCCGAGGTGACACAGGGTGGTTTCAGAGCATCAATGTTTCAGTTAGTAGCTGAGAGCAAACCATCTGTCGAGTTGATTCTGAGTTTTAGTGACCCAGTGTGCTCAGAGTAGACCAACTCCAATGGGGTTTCAAGGATGGGCACTTTGAAGCAAGACGGTCAGGCCTGTCTACCAAGGCATCTTTGGGTGGGTTCAAACTGCCAAACTTCCAGATAGTCCAAAACCAAACCAAACCAAACCCACTGCCACCAAGTCGATTCTAACTCACAGTGACCCTGGATAGGGCTTCCGAAACTCTCAATCTTTACAGAAGCAGACAGTCTTATCTTTCTTTCTTGGAGCAGCTGGTGGGTTTGAACTGCTAACTCTGAGGTTAGCAACCCAGTGCTTATCCACAGAGCCACCAGGGCTCCTTTTTCAGCTAGTGTGTTGCTGTAGGACTGTTAACAACAAGGTCGGCAGTTCAAACACACCAGTCACTCCGCAGAAGAAAGATGAGGTTTTCAGGTCCCTTAGAGACAGCCTCATAAATCCTGTACGGGGTCTCCATTGACTTGATGGCACTGGGTTTCCTTTGAGGGCTTGTATAGTGAAGCAATGTGCACTGATCAGCCCCCTATACTAAACACATGGTTGTTTCTGATTCATACCATCCCTACAGGGCATGGAGAACTGCCGTCCACCCCCACAGGGTTTCCAGCCACCACATCTCCCTCCTGTGGAATGGCTGGTAGTTCGAACCAACGACCTTTCTTTCAGTAGTAGCTGGCGCTTAACTATTGAGCTACCAGGGCTCGTTTAATAGGCTGAATTTCATCTGTTTAAAAGCCATAGAAACATCCTGCGGTACTTTGGCGCTGTAGGGTAAGCTCTGGTCCAAAAAGTCGGTTTGAACTGCAAGGTCAGTGGTTCAAACCAACTGGTTGCTCATCAGAAACCCTATACAGGGTCTCTGTGGAGTCCTGGTGCAGCACTGTAGGATAAGCACTGGACTACTACAAGGTCGTTTGAACTGCAAGGTAGGCAATTTTAACACAGCACTTAACAACAACAACTTCACTGTACACTGTAGTAGCTCTCATCACTAGATACACATTACATTCCCCCGGGGAAATTACAAGAAATACTGAAATCGTCTACCCTGTCATCCCAACCCTGAGATCTTAATTGGGTTTTTTTTTTTTTTTTTAAGTTCTTTAAGTGCTACCCCGAAGTTAGGGTTGAGACCACTGCTGTATATACAAAAACCACTACAATCCATACAAACACCACTACAATCAACCAACAAAACAAAAATTATACACTGATCTGAGCAATGGGGAATTTAAAAAAAAGATCTAGTTTTCTTTCTTTTTTACTTTTCAACCACAAAATGAAGATACCATGTTATTGTTAAGTGTCGGCCAGTCGGTTCCAACTCACAGCTACCCTGTACAGGGTTTCCAAGGAGTGGCTGGTGGGTCCGAACCACCTCCCTATCCTAGCCACACCAGAACTCCCAAAGCAGCATTGTTGTTGTTGTTATGTGCTGTGGAGTCAGTTCTGACTCATAGTGACCCTGTACAAGGTCTCCAAGGCTGTTAATCTTTACGGGAGCAGAAAGCCTCATCTTTCTCCCATGGAACAGCTGGTAGTTTTGAACTGTTGACCGTGACATTATCAGCCCGATTCGTAACCACTACGCTACCAAAGCAGCATGGGAACCAGGATTTCCTTGGTCTTGTAATGAAATCAGCTTGGTTTGGGGCTGGGCCGGGCCAGAGGCCACAAGAAATACCACTCTGTTCCCCTCCAGCTTTGCTCTCCACACCGGAAATGAAACATGCTCAGAATAAGCAGTCTGATTGAGTACTTCCGTCCCAGGAAAATGGAATTTCAGAGTGGGAATGTACGTCCGCCTCCCACACTTAAAATGAACATACGAAAAGGTGAGGTCTGTACTTGCCAGGGAAACACATCCTAAAATAAGAATATTACAAGTCTAAGACTGGTTCTAGTTTCACTGACCTAACAAACAGACGGTCACATGTTCATCCCTGGGTGGTTTGGTTTTGTTTTTTCTTCTCAAACATTTGTTCTTCTCTGGGACACACTGACAGCTGACTATTTGTTGTTGTGCCGACTATAGCTAGTTGTAAATTTGCAAGGTGGTTGGTTCAGTCCCTTAGCCCTCTAACTTGCTGAGTAGCTAAACTGGCTGGCGAGCTATTTGCATAGCAGTTAGAACTAGAGTTTGGCATCAGCACCAACCAATCACCAACAGTGATAAATAGCGACAGGGGAAAAGCAAGCCAGCAGCATCTTAAAACTTCCAAATAGACTCCGTTTTTAAACATTTTCCACATAGATGTTTTCATATGAATTTATAAACACTTTTAGTTACAAACTGGGATTTGGAAAGTTTGCAAGTCAAGGAAAAACAATACTGTAACTAGAGACTTTAAACATTAACCAAAAGGGATAGCGATCTAATTTTCATGTATCAGCTCTGCTCTTGGGGCAGAAGAAATGTACACATGGGAAAATGGCTTTGTGATCACCATTGTTGACAAATTGTCTTGATCAATGACCACAAAAGATTATGCCTGGAATCAAGGAATTCAGACTTTGCCCTTATATTATGATGCATAAGGCTATCTGTAAGGAAAAAAAAAAATTCTTGTCCCCTTACATGGGAATAGGATTTGGGACAAATACCTATTACTAACAAAATGTAAGAATGTCCCTAAAGTATCCAAGCATTAAGTATAAACTTAGGAACTGGTGAAGGTTAACTGCCTTCATCCACCATCACCAGGAATACAAAAGATCCCAAACTCAGCCGGAGGAAGAAAAAACCCCAAAACCACTGATGCCCCTGAGTGTATTTACTAAGGGGCTTGACTTATTTTAAAATCCAGTGTCATACCTTCTAACGCTCAAAGCAACCGCCTGTGACAAGAACTTTTATTTATAGTTAAGACAGAGCTGCCAGCAGAGCCCTCATCCAAGAAAATAGAACTAAGGAAATGAACTTTCACAGTACTCTCAGAAAAATAACATTCACTTATTCAGTTGTGATGGAGAGCTGGGACTTACTCTATATTAGTTGATATCTAGAACTAAAATCAACCTTACTTTGTAAAAATCTGATAAACAATGCTACAAAGCCGAATTTAGAACATCTAATTCTAAATAGCGTAGTGGTTACGAATTGGGCTGCCAACCTCAAGGTTAAGAGTTCAAAACTACCAGCTGTTCCGTGCGAGAGAGATGCTTTCTGCTCCCGTAAAGATTTACAGCCTCAGAAACCCTGTGCAGGGTCGCTATGAGTCGGAACTGACTCCACAGCACATAACAATAACAACAACAACTGTGGAGTCTTGGAATGGCGCTGCAGGTTAATACGCCAGACTGCAAACCTGTTTGAACTGTGAGGCTGGCAGTTCAAGCTCACCAGCTGCTCCTCAGAAACCCTATACAGGGTGGCTATTGGTTGGAACCAACTCAATGGTACTTAATAACAACAACAACTGTGGTGCTGTTGGGTAAGCACTAGACCTCAAGGTCATTTGATTCACAAAGTCGGCAGTTCAAACTCACCAGCTGCTCCTTGAAAAACCTATACAGGATCGCTGTGAGTCGCAACCAACTAGATGGCATTAACAACAACAACAACTGTTAACTTCTTGGAAACTCTACACAGGACTGCTATGAGTCGGAACCGAGTCTATGGCACTTAATTAACTAATCTACTGTTGATAGATCGATGCCAACTCATGGGGACCATATAGGTCAGAGGAGAAATGATCCCATAAAGTTTCTAAGACTGCAAATCTTTACGGGATGGTGGGTTTGAACCACTAACCTTGAAGTTAGCAACCCAAAGGGTTAGCCCACTGCGCGACCAGTGCTCCTTGTTTATCACTAATTGTTATTAAGTGCCGCTGTGTCAATTCCAACTCATAGCGACCTTGTATAGGGTTTCCAAGGAGCGGCTGGTGGGTTTGAACCGCCAACCTGAGATTAGCAGTCCAGTGCTTATCCTACAGCACCACACCAGGACTCATAAACACACAACTTCTCCACTTTAGCTTGTGTTCACTTGGGGAGAAAAACAGCCTCCAGCCATTTCAACAGTCAGACCCTCTTGCAAAATGTTTCTTACAAAACAGAATTTTATCTAGAACATCAGTTGTTAAATTGCAGGTCTCAACATACGAAAGGATCCTAAATGTGTAGTGGAGCACAGGAAGTTTAAAAGAAGAAAAAAAAAAAAGGAAAATACCAAAGTTTATCATGATAAAGGTAAAGGCCATTTTGTGAATTGCTTTTCTGTGACATTCTATGTACACACACCAGGGAGCCCTAGTGGCATAATGGCACAGTGGTTAAAGCACTTGACCCTTAACCAAGAGGTCAGCAGTTTGAATCCACTAGTCACCCCCTGAGAGGAATGTGTGGCAGCCTGCCTCTGTAAAGATTACAGCCTTGGAAACCTTGGGCGGCATTTTTACAGTCCTATAGTGTTGCCCTGATCCCATCTAATCACTATGACTCAGAATCGACTGGAAGGCAGTGGGGCTTGGTTTTTTTTTTATAATATGTAAGTGGGGGTGGGGGGTGCTGAGTGGTGTTGAAATGCATACTATTTCTTATTGTGGTCAAGAAAAGCTTAAATGCCACTCATCACCCCAAGCTGTTGAGCGACTCTGTTCGATGATTACACATACAGTTTTCTCAAACAAAGACGTATTATTATTGAGCACAGGGGTATTTGAGACAGAAAAACAAAGGGAATGGAAGCCGAACTTGCTTTGGTACATGATGGCCTTAATTGCACCGGTGAATGTTCAATATTAGCACAGTTCAGCCACAGCCAGGCCAGCACAGGCTGGAAACAGCCTTCAGAATAAGGATCACCAGAAAACTGGTACAGCAGGAAGTGGGAAACATGGAAGCTGGCATCCCAGCCTGACGCTCCCAGGGGCACATTCCATCTGGTGCCCCAGGGCTGCCTTCTCACACTTTCATGAAAAGAGGGAAGGAAATAGGCCTTTGCTTCTAAGAAACACGACTCAGCAACATCCAAATGTGCACATCAAAGTGAGACCAGAGAAATCCATCAGAAAGCAACAGGTAGGTGCCCACCCCTCCTCCTTCTCCGGGGAGGTAGTCTGAGCCAGCTTTCTTTAGAGCTCCGAGGAGGTTTCCTCTGGCTGGGTGGGGGAAATGGAGAGGTTCCCTACATCCAGGGAGGGCAGGCAAGATGCCCTGGGCCGGGGCTGGGCCGGGGCTGGGCCGGGCCGGGCCGGGGCTGGGGTTGTCCAGGCCGAGGTCCCAGGCCCTGCCCAGTTGCCACGTTGAGATGCTCAAGGACAAATGGGAAAGTTTCTCTTTTACTCCCACCTCCCTGGGCCCCTACTAGAGCGTCTGAGGTCAATTTCCCAGTCCCTCCTTCCGGACCTCTTTGTTGTGGCCATTCCAGACCCCCTCCTAGGTCACCCGCTTTCCACCGCCCCCATATTCCTCGGTCTCCCTGCACCCCACCTCCCGTGCTGACCCTCGAGACCTTGTCGTATCCCACTCCCCATGCTGACCCCCATTCCCGATGCTGACCCCTGGGTCTCCCTGCATCCTAATCCCCTTCCCTCACCCTGAGCCCAGCTTCCCGGCTCCCGGCTCGCGATCTGGGAGCGTTGGGCGAGAGCCCCACTGCGGGGCAGGGAGAAGGCGGTGAGTGGTAAAGAGACCCGAGCCCCCGCGCCTCTCCGGTTACCAGTGGTCGACAGAGCACCCCCCTCCCGGAGGGGAATCCCTCGGCTTACGTGCAGTCCTGATTGAAGGAGAAGCAGCTGAGCGCCGGCTCGACCCCGCCCGGGGGGGCATCCGCGGCCTCGGCCGCCATCGGGGCTGGACCCCGCGAAGCCGCAGCTCCGGGCCGGCGTGAGCCACCTCAGCACCGCTCCGCCGGCTCCGAAGGCCGGGTTGCCGGCGCCCCCGCCCTCCTCTGGCCCCGCCCCCGCCCTGTCTCGCCCCTCCTCTCCCCTCCCCTCCCCTTCTGCCAGTCCCGCGGAGCCGAGCAGCTGACGGGGCGGAGCTTCTGCTGCCAGCCTCCATTGGTCATGAGTGCACGCCGTGGAGGGCGGGCGTAATGTTTCTTACCAATCCACGGAAAGTATGGGCGGAACCGCCTCGCTGGCAACCCGCCCCCAGACCCGCCACGCGACTCTCTATTGGGCAAAGCCGCGTGACGCATGGGCTGCAGGCCACGTGGTGGTGTTTTCATTGCCAGAGTGGCCCAACGGAGGGAGAGAAAGAACTGGGGCGGCTGAGGTCAGACCTGTCGGTTGCGGACCCGTGTCTGCGTGGGGCCGCCCTCAAGGGGACCGGCGGACGCTCAGTCCCACCCCACCCACACCCTGTCCTGTGTGACTCGCTTTAGACGCTACCGCCCCACCCTTTTGTAGAGTCCTCAAGCTGCTTTGAGAAGAGTTTCTAAAATGGGGATAAGTTATCAGGGCCCCAGCCGTTGAGAACTCCTATTACGGGCTAAGCGCTGTGCAACTACGTATACTATCGCGCTGAATTCTTCTAAAAAACGCTAGGAAAGTAGTGTCCCCCATTTTCAGAAGAGGCAACAACTGAAGCAGGAGCTTTAAGTCATTTGTCCAGAGTAGCCCAGTAAATAGTAGAATGTGCATTTGTCTGATTGCAAGACTCATGAACACAGCGACTCTGCTAAGCAGTATTTGAGCGCTGTAGGATAAGCACTGGACTGCTAACTGCAAGGTCGGCAGTTCAAACCTAACCAGCCACTCCTCAGAGACCCTATACAAGGTCTCTATGAGTCAAAACCGACTGGATGGCACTTGACAACGGCAAACAATCTAAGGATGGGCTGACAAAAGGCTACAAAATGTGTCCATAGAGGAAGCAGCCATCCTAGTGAGGTACACACATTATAGAACGGCCAACCATTGGAGATCAAAAGGGCAGCATTTACCCAAGGACAAAATTCAGAAGGGTTGAGAAGAAGGAGTGGAAACAAGGGTCACAGGGAGGAAGTGGGATCTGTGATGTTCTATCGAAAGGACTGAAGTCACTGAGATGGAACCCAGTGTATGTTCTGTTGAAGGAAGAGCGGATGGTCTGCTCTGTAAACCTTTACTCCATTCACAATAAACAGTTGGTGGTTGTGTCTTTGTAAAGTCTATGTTGGTAAGTGCAGTTGAGTTGGTTCCAACTCATGGCATGCCTGCACAGCGTTTCCCAGGAGCAGCTGGTAGGTTTAAACTGCCGACTTTTTTGTTCACAGTCCAGCACTTATCCTATTGGGCCACACCAGAAGTCCTCAAAAAGTGTATAGGAAGGTGCATTTTATGAAAGAGATGGTCTTCAAGACTCCACACAATTCAAAACTCGCATTTGACTTGAATCCTGCTAAGATTTCTGCTCCCAAGTTACAGGTATGGTGCCATGTAGAATTAATGATCAACACTGCTCATAAATCAATAACTCCTCCAGCTTTGAATTTATGAGATGCTTGAGTAATCTTTAATCCGTGTCTTTTCAGATTTTCCGTATATTTTTATTATTAGCATACCATAGCAGTTCAGACTGGCATAATTCAAATTTACCAATTTGTGACCAAGTGGTATATATTTGGGAATCTTGAACTGTGGACAAAGAGCTCTAAGTCACTTGAGCTTTTTGAGTTGTGTGTCCAGTTTTGATTTTCTGAGATACAAATCCAGCAGTTTCTTCTCTCAATTCTATTTTCTGTCTCCTGTTGGTTGTAAAAAATAGTTCAGCTCATAAATGCAGTGTTTGATTACCCTTTAGTTGATTTGGGGGGTGTTGATAAGCCATTGCAAGTGAAAATAACTGTTATTTAGATGTTTTAACTGCATAGTCATCTTTGCAACCTCTCAGATGGGAGGTGCTCTCCCCTTGACACACATCCCCCACACCCCCACCTGCAAACCCCCTCACCCCACCATGCCACCACCCCACCCCGGCTAAGTCAAATGCTGCATTCCTTTCTGTTCATTTAGAAAACCACAATTCTGGAATGTTTGGTGCTGAATGATTGAAAGGATTACGTAGGATAAGAACACAAAGTGCATAATAACGGCCTTTAAAGTGGGAGCTGTTGTTATCCAGAATTTGGGCTTCATGTTGATAGTTGGTAGCTGGTGTTAGTTTTCAAGCAGGAGTGTTTGATGATAAACGTGGTGCTCTTAGCAGATAGACTCAACCAGTGTGTGCAGAAGAGATTACAAAAAAACCACCCCCTACTCTGGTAGCGTAGTGGTTACGAATCGGGCTGCAAACCTTAAGGTCAGTGGTTCGAAACTACCAGCCGCTCCGCGGGAGAAAGATGAGGCTTTCTACTCCCGTAAGGATTTACACCCTCGGAAACCCTGTACAGGGTCGCTATGGGTCGGCTCCGACTCGAAGGCACTTAACAACAACAACAACACATGCCCAAGCCCTTGGAGTCTGACTCGTAGTGACCCTGTAGGACAGAGTAGAACTGCCCAGTAGGACTTCGAAGAATGAAATTCGTATGGAAGTGGACTACCCCGTCTCTCTCCCACAGAACAACACCCACAGTTCACGTAACAGCCCAGCTCTGGGGATGGGTGGGCAAAGAATGGGGAAACCTAAGCTAATAAGATGGCAGTAAGACCAGAAAAGCTGTGGTAAATCCAAGAGGTGTTTTGAGGCAGCGCTGGCCAACAAAAAGTAATTTAAACATTTCTAGAAATCATGTCAAGAAACCCTTGTGATGCTGTAGGTTAGCACTGGGCTGCTAACTCCAAGGCCAATGGTTCAAATCCACCAACTGCTCTGGGGGAGAAAGAGGAGGATGTCTGTATAAACTGACTGTGAGTCCAAATCGCCGTGATGGTAGTGGGTGGGTTGGTTTGGTTTTATAGAAATTGCACTGAAAAGGGTAAAAAGAAACAGGCAAAATATTCTAAGTTTTTATTGTGAACTGAGTGATAGTTTACATGGGAGAACATCGGTTTTACCCCATTGTTTCATTGCAATGATTACAATCTCCTCCGTGCATCACCATTCAACAGTGTTTGCTTCTATTCCCTCTGGGCTTTTTGGGACGGGGTGGGGGGGTGTACACAAAAACACTCAGGAATATATAATGATTTAAAGAACCAAAGGACACATTCTACAAGCCTCAGGCAAATTATTCTTAATAATTGATTTTATTTAACCAACATACCAGACATAGTGTCATTTCAGCAGGCAATCAATAAAAAAATCAATAGGTACAAATCAACATGTAAAATATATAGAAATTACAAATGAAATAGTCTACTTTTTTTTTTTTTTTTTTAAAGTACGAATAGTTTTGTCTGTCAGTCAGTCACACTGTGGTGGCTTGTGTGTTGCTGTGATGTTGCAAGCTGTGCCGCTGGTATTTGAAACAGCAGCAGGGTTACCCAGGGTGGGCAGGTTTCAGTGGATTGTTCAGACGAAGAAGGAAAGAGGGATCACTTCTCAATGACTGCTGTTGTTAAAGCTCCTTACAGTCAATTCTGACTCATAGCGACCCAGGATAGGAGTTGTGAGGAATGGCTGGTGGGTTTGAACCACTGGCCTAGCAATTGGCACTTTAGTGTTTATTCTGTAGTGCCTAGTCACTGAAAACCTTATGAATAAAAGAAGAACATTGTCAGATATAATGAGGAAAGACGAGCCCCTCAGGCTGGAAGGCACTCAACATACGACTTGGGAAGAGCTGCCTTCTCAAAGTAGAGGTGATGAGAATGATGTAACCCGAGCAAAACTTTTAGAACTTTCATTGGCTGATGCAGCACCACTTAAAATGAGAAGAAACAGCTGCAAACATCCATTAATAATAGAAACATGGAATGTCTGAAGTATGAATCTAGGAAAATTGGAAGTTGCCAAAACTGAAATGGAACCCATAAAAATCAATATCATAGGCATTAATGAGGTGAAATGGGCTGACATTGTCCATTTTGAATTGGATATCGTGGTATACTATGCTGGCAGTAACAAACTGGAGAAGAATGGTGATGCATTCATGGTCAAAAAGAGCATGTTAACATCAATTTTGAAGTACAGAGCTGTCTTCAAGCTTCCCTACACCTACGAGGAAGGCCAGACTCCTGGTGTGGCACTGTAGGATAAGTTCAAACCCACCAGCTGCTTCTTGGAAACCCTATGCAGGTCGTTATGAGTCAGAACCGACTTGATGGCACATACCAACAACAACAAAGAACAGTTAATACCAGTATTATTCAACTGTATGCTCTAACCACTAAAGCCAGTGATGATAAAATTGAAAAATTCTACCAATTATTTCTGAAATTGATCAAACATGTAATCAAGATGTGTTGATAATTACTGGTGATTGGAATGGGACAGTTGGAAACAAAGACAAACAATCCGTAGTTGGAAAATATGACATTGGTGAAAGATACATTGCTGGCGATCACAAGATAGAATTCTGCAAGACCAGTGACTTTTTAATTGCAAATACCTTTTTTCAGCAACATAAAAGGTGACTATGCATGTGGACCTCACTAGATGGACTACACAGGAATCAAATTGACGACATCTGTGGGAAGACACAGTGGAAGACACAGCCCAAACAAGGCCAGGGTCAGACTGTGGAACAGACTATCAATTGCTCAAAGCAACTTCAGGCTGAAGCTGAAGAAAATTAAAACACGTACCCAGAGCCAAAAAATGATCTTGAACATATCACACTTGAATTTAGAGACCTTATTAAAAACAGATTTGCTGCATTAGACACTAATGACTAAAGACCAGAAGAGTTGTGGGATGACATCAGTAACATTATACAGGAAAAAGTAAAAAGTCATTCAAAATACAGAAGAGAAAGAAAAG